ATCAAGAAATTTACATTATTTATTCTTTTACCCTTAAAAATCTCTTCATTTTTATTTACAACCATTCATCTATATTCATATAATGATTCTAAATCAATAGTAAATTAAAAAAAAACAAATTTTCTAAATTCATTGAATGGTCTCAGTGGTAAAAGATAATTTGTTCTTTATATAGTATTTGGATTCGAGCAGTTGCATATGTATTATCAATAGATTGAAAATTTTTGAATATCTTATAATCACCCCAAACTATATAATGAAGTTATATATCTCCCGACCAAAATTCTGAATTTCTATCTCTAGAGAAGTCTCTACGTGTTTCGTGATTTTACGACGATTTATGTGCTTGTTGCTCGTTGTTTGTAACACTAGCTAGCCCGATAGTTGACTTGGGTTCATTACTGGGTAGTGACATTCTAATTGTTCCCTCAATTCACTCTCGAATTGGAGGGACAATTATATGTTTACCATTCACTGACATTCTTATAGTACGCAGCTTCGCTATTTCGTAATATGACTATTTTGTCATACTGCTTGCTAGCATATACTCCGTAATGGTCCTTCATTCCTAGATATTTACCTATGCTCAACTAAAGATACTTGGATGCATTATGCCTACTATGGTTACTTTGGTTGTAACATACTTCTACAAGTGTTTCTAGGCCTTTTTGGCCATTTATGTCCCCCACAGATAAAGTTATACCATTTTGGATCATTCTTGATTCTTACGGGCCTTAATCGGGTCGAATATGACCATCCAAAGTGAGTAGTATTGATACTCTACTTGCAGTATCGATACCCATAACCCTCAATATCAATACTATAGGGGCAATATTGATGCTATCCCCAGCAGTATCGATACTCCCTATTAGAAATCCCTAATTTTTATCCCAATTCAACCAGCATCGATACGATTGATCCAATATCGATACTTGAACCCATTAATGTCTTATTTAAGCTCATAAAACACCCAAAAATCATCCCCAATGTCTTAGCTTAGTTCCTAATCATGTAATAAAGCTTTATGAAGTTACATAGGGTCTTAAAGTGTTATAAAAACATGTTTTACGACAGATTCGTCATCTTTGGCATGAATCAAGTATGAAACCCTAAAATGCTCAAATACTAAAATATTAACAAATCATCATGCTTATAAAAGCCTTAACACTCCAAAGGATTAGAAATATACTACCTTAATGTTTAAATCCTGAAATGAAGCTCCTTGCTTATCCATACTCCTTTCCTTTGTGATTTGGATGAAAACCCCAACTTTTTCTTTAGCTAGGAATAACTCAAAACTTGAATCATTAAAACAATGTTGCTGGAGGGATTATGAATGAAAATGAAGCTTAAAAGAAGTAGAAAATGGCTCTAAGGACTTACCCTTAGCTATATCACTTCAAGAGGAAGAGAAGAAAGAAGAGAAATGAGAATGAAAAAAGTGAAGAAAAGAAGATGAAAGGAGATATAAAATCTCATTTTTTTTAAAATGAGTTAATTACACTTTAGTCATTCTAATCTTTCTACCATTAAAATATCTCCTTTTTATAGCTAACTGGCCCCAATTCCAACCAAATTAAGCCCAACGACTTAAATTATGAAATTCAAGGGGTCCACAACCCGAAACTACTAGTCTAATGTTTGGGGTGTTACAAAATGTAAATATAAAAACTCTCGAACAAGATCGAGAAAATTAATGGAACAACCTCATCCTCAATTATTTCTCTGCTACCTCATTATGGAGACAAAGAACATTGACAATGACCAATGACTGGTCTCTTACCGACTATGAATCTCCACCCAAACTAAAAGGGGTGAATCACATATAGCTACCACAATCCATTTGATCCTATCAACAATGGTGTGGTGAAAACAAAACTCCTCCTATAAAAAATTATCAATCAACATGCACCTCAAAAAAGGAAAATTGTAACACCCTCAACCCATTTTAGTCGGGTACCAAACCAATAGTGTTACATTGATTGATAAAAAATATAATAAATAACTTCTAAACTAATTTGATTACCAAATAATTAATTAATCAAAATTTAATTTTAAGGACTAAGTTATAAACATAATCTCAACTAAGTTCATATGTGATTGAATTATATGATTCAACTCAACTGAGAGTCATATCACAATTATTACTAATATCAGGGATTATATTAGATAATACAAACATTCAAGGTAGAAAAGATCGATTTTGTTCATGCGGTATTGATATTGTCTTAGAATGATATCGGTACTAGATGAATAATATAAATACTAATTTTTTTTCCAAACTTAGAAACTCATTATAGTACCGATACCTTTACTCAATATCTATACTATACAAGTACAATACCAATACTGATCAATGGTAATGATAATTTTTAGAGTTAATGGATTTGAATCTCTCTAATTAGTATTGATACTCAATCATTCAGTATGGATACCGCCTATGTAGTATCAATATGTCATGTTAGTATCGATACCAAAAAATTCATCCGATATTTCTCTTTTTTCCTATAGTATCAACACCTTCCATTTTGACACTAATATCATATGCACCAATTAATCAAAATCCATTATAAATCAAACATATTTAAAAATAAAAGTTAGGCCTATGATACATGTAACATATATAATAGCATCCTAACAGTGCAACATAATATCAATTTTATCAATGTTTCACCTATATGGATATACTTGCTCATGCTTGGAACATGTAGATATTACTTACCATCACTACATGCCATTTACCTATACTTACCAATATATTTATGCTTTTAGACATAACACCAAAAATACATCAAATGTATCATAGCATTAAACATTATACTAAATAACATGTTATCGCATTTAACAGAAAATACAAAAAAATATCAATTGGTTTACATAGTCATCATTTTAGGAGTTTTTAACAAAGATTTTTATATTAACAAAATCGATGATAACCTTTAGTCTCTAAATGCAATTTCAATCCACTAAGATGATTGATGTTATAACATCATTAAACAAACAAAATAAGTTTACATAGCTTAGTGAGATATTCAAAACATGTGAACTTATCACACGATCAATTGTCATAACAATGATGAATCTAACAACAATAACATTAATACGGATCATGAATATAACATTAAGATCAAATATTAGATCGATGGTACTCTTTTAAAGATTGGATACTCTATGTCACTGTTAATAGTACAAATAGCACAACTATAATGGTCAATCCCTCTATCATTGTCTGGACATAAGTCTGACCAAACCATCATGCCTTTGTTACTAACAATACTATAGTCTTACAATACTCATAGTTTGAACCGTGTGACCTCAATTATATCCCGAACTTGGCAAGATAACTAGGCACAAGAAACATACTAATTTATACAAATTGAAAACAAAAATGAATAAAATGAAAACCATTTCCCTTTAAAATCAACAGCTGCAATAACTAATTAATACAAAATGAATTAACAATAATGTTGAGTTTAGTAAGAGTATTATTATTTTTAAATATATATTAGTGTATGTGTTAACAATAAATTAATTTGTTTTGTAATATTTTGATTACAAAACGAAGGAAACTAGTAACTACATCAGCCTAATCTCAAGCTGTAATCCTCCATGACTCTCCTAGTGAAAAATTCTTGAAACAAATGACAATCAAAAGGAAGAGTTAAAGCAAGTTTTTTAAAACCATCAATCAACTTGTTTCTTCCCCTATAAACATGAAGAAAAAAAATGCAGTTTCCAAACTCGACGATATGTGGTAACACGAACGATCCAAGAGACATATTAGTTGTTTATTCTGGCAACAATATTACCTTGAAGTTAACTTTATCCCATTTACAAAGGAAGAAGCCAAGATATTAACTTGAAAGGATAAAGAGTAATTAACAATAGAAATAAAAGATAAAATAAAAATAAATTAAAATTTAAAGATTTAAGTAATTGTTTATCATATATTTTTTAATTACAAAAAATTGAGAGACAGTAACCTCAAGATGAGGCATAGCTTCGTCCCTAAGTATTTTCATTTAAATATGTTAATTTCTAATAGAACGGTATCAAGAATTCATATTCATTTTTCTAAATTTGGATTTAAATTTTATATAATGACAAATTTATTTAATATTTAAGTGGTGATTAAAGTTTTCCTGAAATTTATACTTATATAATTAAACGTTACACTGAATATTTTTCTCTATTTTTAAAATTTTATCAATTTGTTTTTTTTTTTTCATTCAAATTGGTGAATCTCACACGTTTAAAGAAAGAGAAAGGTGTCGGTAGAAGTGAGAGTTCCGTATGGACCATATTCTTTTTGGGTTCCAAACACGGGCCATTTGATATTGATATATTAACGGGAATAGCTCTCCCAAATTTCACTTTTGCAACTTCCAATTAGAAAAAAAGGAAATTTTTAATACATATTTTTTTCAATTAATGAAGAATCCAATCATACCCTTCTTTGCTTTGATTTGGTGATTTGTATTGGGTTAACTTTCCCCCCTTGTTTGCTTTAACTTAATATACATATACTAACCATTAGTTTTTATACATTAATGTACCCAACACCGCACTAATTTTACTTGTAAAATTTAGAATGTTGAAATTTGTGGGTTCTTGAGTTTTTAAAAAGATTAAAAGTTAAGAAAGTTAAAAAATAATTTTTTTTTTCTGGATTTAACAATGTTAGCATAATATTGGCACAATTTGTATTTTTTATTAAAATTGATTAACTTGGTATTTTGATTAGATTTAACATGGCATTTTTTATCTATGATAATGAGAGTAGCATAACAAACAAGTCATGGTGACCAATTTTGAGAAAATACTTAAAACACTTGAACTATAATCCTTAAATGAAAAATATTGGAGGATTTAATGTGTAACATTCTGACTACAAGGACTAAATTCCAAACATCACCGCAAATACAAGGATTGATTAAAAATTTGACCAGTTTAGAAACGAGATAATTTTCTTATGTGTGCTAAGATATATACCTATTCTTATCTCACATTCTCACTCACTCTTCCCTCCTTTCTTCACTTTCCTTGTATCTTTTTATCTTTCACTCTTTGCATTATCCCTTTCTTTTTCCTTCTTCAAGGTAATGCTAAAAGACTCATCCTCCACCGCCGCCGCTGTCTCTTCCTTTATTTCTACTTGTATTGTTTTTTTTATATGACTGCAATATTCTCATTTTTAGAAATATTTTCTTTATGAACGTCGACTAATACAAAATACGAATATGTTTGTAAAATTACAAACATGATTTTGTTGGGTTTTTTTATAATGACGTTTGCATGATTTTAGCAGGGAGAAGAGTGCCTTAAAAATGGCAGACTGCAAAAACGCCCAGCAGAATGAGGTACGAATACAATGCAAATTATACTTTTTTACTCGAAAATATTAAACATTTACTTGTTTTAATATCAATCTTAGATATTGATGGGTTAAAGAATTAACGCTTCTGATCTTTTGTATTAAGTGAACATATACTTGTTTGAGGCTCACATCGGAATCGGTGCAGTCTAACATAATTTCTCCAACTCTACCATAATAACTTGAAGTTAGAGATTCCCCCCCCCCCGATTTTTAGCTACCATATTTATTTATTTATTTATTTTAATTAATTCCTGGGAAGATTTTATAATGTCTCTTTTTGCTTGATTTATGGTTTTAAAGTGAACATCTCTAAGATGGTAGCTACGTACTGTTCCTTAGATCAACGGTTGTGAAGATGACACGACAAGTTGTGTACGTTTGTGATGGGAAAATAGTGTGTATTTCATAGACATTCCTTTCCGAAATGTCGGCAGTGTTGTGTTGTACATACAACACTACTATATTTTGTTTCTCATTCAAGTGTAATATATATATATATATATATATATATGATTCATTTATATAAATTGTAAAATTCTTTTAATTTTATATGTATTTAGGATTATTGGATAGGTGTAAATAGATAAATTGATATTAACTTTTTTTTAATTAAATATATTCTCATTTCCTGCTATTAATATTAATTATTTATCACTCATCTAATTATCCTAAATTTATATAAAACTTAGTATTATAAACTATTTAAATTTATACAGGAAACATCGGCCAAATATGGAGGATTGGTGCCAAAGAAGAAGCCCTTAATCTCAAAGGTAAATATTAAAAAAGAAGGTTAAATTCTACTTTACATAAATTTAGAATATAGTCCCTATGACTTGATTTGATATAATTTTATCCTTTACTTTTATAATGCCATCAGTTAGTTTAAAGGAGTAGCACCCTAAACCATTTCTATGAATTTTCTTAAAAACACCCTTTTCAACTTAAAGAAATCCATGTTAATATTTTAAGTAGTGCCATTATAAAAATTGTGGCCAAATTAAAGTGCATCAAATTTGAGCATAGTAGGAAAAGGATCAAAATCGAAATTTGAAAGAAATATTATTAATTTTGAAGTTGTTTAAATAATTTTAGATTAAAGAAAAATGAGTTATATTTTTGATGTAATGACTAACAAAACATGAATATGTAGGACCATGAACGTGCTTTCTTTGATTCAGCAGATTGGGCATTATGTAAGGTAAATTTTGTGATTTTTTTGTGCATTAGATTTAGAGACAAAGACAAAATTTGATTAATGTCCCAAAAGTTGACAGTTGGAGGCCATTTCTCTTATATTTTGTCAGTTAGAGCCTTAGAAAAGGTTGGGTCCCAAGCTGTCCCAAAAATCTTGAAATCAGTTTATTTTAGAAGTAGTGAATTATGAACTTATTGAATGGATTTCGGAGTTAAAGGCGAATATTGTTTTCTATTTTAAATAGTTATGTGTGTAGGACGTGTAAGTTATTAATAATTAAAAAAGATTATAAACAAATAATATCTTGTGATCATTTTAAATTATTAAATAAAAAGAAAATAGTGAATTGTGCATGTCAAAACAGTTTTTATATTGAAGCTATTTAATAGAATTAGTATAAACAATATAGTTTTTATAATAATAAAATTGTATGCTATAATTTAATAAAGCTAAGATTCTGATTTACATGACAATTGATATTAAAATTATTTTTTCGGAATTTCAGTTAGTAATTTTGTTTTTGTTCGAATATGGAACAGCAAGGTGCAGCAGTAAATGAGAAGTCAAGTGTTGCAATCGAGACTCTAAGACCGAAGCTCATGGTATATGGTATTATGTATATTATTTTTGCATTAACCAATTAAAATTACTAATCTTTTAATGATATCAGAGAACACCACATCAACAGTTACCTCCGAGGAGACCTGCTTGTACATCCGGTGGAGATAATAACACGGTGAGTCATTAAAACATTTAAACCCTAAACCACGGCATATGTACGGTTAAGTGCATCCCATCATTTTAAGAAAAAATGATTAAATTTAGTTTAATGTATTTAATAAAAATAAAAAAATTACATACATATTATTTTAAGAAAATAAAATTAAAATTTTAAATATTCGCTTTTTAATTTCTGTATTGACCACTGTAATAAACCCTAATCTCTATCTGATTTCAAATTCTTTATGTTGCAGGCTCCTAAACTGGTGTGAGAAGTTGATGAAATTCGGGCTTGTATTAATTACTACTATTGTTATAATAATAAAGTCTTGTTTGTAGAATTCAAAATTCTGCCCATTTATGTAATAAGCTCATTCTTGTAATGTGTTTATCTCCTCTTGGTCTAGTCAAATCTCGGTATACAATTGAATGATCAAATACGTGCCCACAGGCTTATTAACCGGAAGCATCAGATTCGATTTAGATCAAATTATTTTAAACAAAATTCAGATATCAACTTCTCATGGAGAAGAAGAGAGATCTGCTCGGAGTTTTGAGGGTTTCACCGTCTTCGTCAACATTGACAATAACCTTTCTTTGGATGGAGAGGTGTGGAGCAGTCGAAAGGTCAACTCGGAGTTTTGAGCAGGTAGCAAGTGGGAGGTGTGGAGGTGTTGTGAGGTCAGTTCGGAGTTCTGGTCAGAGAGCTATTGGGAGGTGTGGAGAAGAAGAGAGATCTGCTCGGAGTTTTGAGGGTTTCACGGTCTTCGTCAACAATGTGAGCAAAGTGATCCACTCGTCAACCCTAAAGGATGTGTTCCAGATGTATGGAGTTGTGGTCGATGTCTTCATTGCGTACAGAAGCACAAAAAGACAATTAGTTGGTTCTACCTTCACTTTTGTAAGGTTCAAAAGAGAGTCTGAAACTAGGATAGCAGTTCGCAGGGCGGACGAGAGGATAATGGATGACTTTAGGATTAGAGTTTTCCATGATAGAAAGCCAGTTTCAAGAATTATGAGGTCGGGGCTGTTAGACCGATCAAGAAGGTTCGACGTCCAACTTTGAAGGATACCGGGTCTTTTAAGGATGCTCTTGTAGGTTATCAGATAGCAGAAGGAAAGTCACAAGAAACCAACGAACTTCAACAGTCTCTAAAGTTAATCGGGTCTGAGAATGTTGTTCGCGTTAATTTTGTAGAGGATAGTTGCTTAAGTTCCTAAAATGAGGAAGGATTATTCAATAAGAACATAGTCATTCCAAAGAAGAAGATTTCGTGGAGAAAGAATTGTGTGGTGGGTAAAATAAAAAACATGTATAATGAAGAAGTAATTCAAATAGCTTTTCGGGCTGACGGGTTCGATATGAAGTTAAGTCCTTGGCTTGCACTTTTGGTTGTTATCCAGTTTCAGAATGATACGGATCGTCAGGAATATTGGTTAAGAAGAGATGTACTGGTCCAACAATGGTTTGAAGATCTTGAATTGTTGGAAGGTTCTGATGGTAAATTTAAATTCAAGGTCTGGGTTATCTTGAAGGATGTGCCTTTTACAGTATGGAGTGATAAGTTTTTTATGGGTCTAGGTAGTTTGTGGGGTAAAGTTCTAAAGGTTGATGAAGAAACTAGTAAGCGAGATAGGTTTGATGTAGCAAGGATTCTATTGAAAGTCCAGTATGAATCGTCTATTCCAGAGAGAGCTGCCATCATAATTAATGGGATTGTTTACACAATAAAAGTTCAAACAGAAGCCTATAAAGATGATCAAGTTTTCATTGATGGCACCTCGGCGAGCGGTGGATTTTGGATAACAGAAGATGTTGAACCGATAGGTTTTCCAACATGCAAAGATGAGTTTGTTGAAGACGTTATTCCTGAGAAAGAACTAAATGATGTTATGTCGGCTGATTTGGTGAGTCAGTTGGGTACTAAGGATAGTGGAAGGTTGCCTGTCAAAACGTTGTATGCAATAAACCACGTGGAGAATTACAAGGCTGTAGAAGACAGGCTCCATGATGTCCCGATTTTATCTAGTTCTGGTCCAGCTTGTCAGCCTGCTGATGAAAACTTTGGGCTGATGGGAATAAATAGAGAATCAGAGCAATTTTGGGTGGATCAAACGATTAGAACAGTAAATGAGACGAGACAGATCGTGAGCTACTCGAGATCGACTCGATCTTGGCTCGATAAATACTCGGATCGAATGGACTCGACTCGAGTTCTTAACGAGTCGAAACGAGCTACTCGATATTCGACTCGAAAAGCTCGTGAGCAGCTCGAAAAATGTTATATTATAATTTTAGATTTTTTAAAATTACATTATTAAAAATATATTAAAAATACATTATTGATGAATAAATAATCTTGAATTGAAAATGGTTAAAAATTATTTTTGAATAAATATTCTTATATTTATTTTAAATTAATAAAAAAATTATTTATCTAATGAAAAATATTTAATATATTTCTAATGATAAGGTTTAGGGTTTAGAGTTTATGTGATAAGGTTTATGTATAGGGTTTAGAGTTTAAAGTTTATATGATAGGATTTAAGGTTTAGGGTTTAGGTGTTAGGGTTTAGAGTTTATGTGATAAGATTTAGGGGTTAGGATTTAGAGTTTAAGTATTAGGGGTAAGGGTTTAAGGTTTAAGTTATGCATATGAAGGTAACATACAAATTATGCAAAATGATGTTATGTGACTCCTAAATAAATCATTCGTATACTTATACATAAACATATCAACATGCAAAATAAATATACACAACTAATTAAAGAAAGTAATCCTAAACAGGGATTAAATTAAGAAAAGCCTAAATGTGAGGACTAATTTAAGCTAAAATTTAAACAATTGAGGTACTATTTTGTACAAGACGCATAAATCTAGAGAGCCTAAAGCTAATTTACCCCTAAGATTACGGTGATTAAACGATAATTAATACCAAAGTTAATTAGGTTTAGAACCTAAATTAAAACAAACCTAAACTAAATATTCATTTCAGCCGCTCAAGCTCAAACCTCACGCCCTCACCTTCTCCAACTCTCTCCCTCTCATTCTCACGCAAACCAGAAAACAGTGTCGCAGTTGCCGCTCCTCTCGCCTTTCTTCAACGGAGTTCTACACTTCGACCGCCGCCGTGACCCTCTCAAAACCTATAGCCACCATGAAAACAGAATCCTCTCCCCGTCATTAGCAACGCCGCCGTGAAAAAGTTCAGAACCAAGCACTCCGACCGCCATTAACAACGGCTGGTTAACCCAAACACAAGCCTTACCCGACCCTAAACTCTCTGATCTTCACTATTATAAAACCCCCAAACACTAAGTCTACATACAACGACCCCAAACTTCTAAGGTCGATGAGTTCGACTCTAAACTCCGACGCATTGCACGATAAACTTTCATGACCCACCTCTTCTTATTTTATGATGAACTTATTTTTGAATAACACAACCCCTTATTTTGACAGTGAGACTCGAACAGCTAGGAACTAAGGTAAACGCTTAAGCTATCTCTTTTATGCCTTTGATTTGGTTTAGATTCAAAACATATGAATGTGTATATGTTTTATATTATATATTATTCAACTGTTTTATAAGCATCATTGAGCGAGAAGTTTAGTTTATGTTTGCTTTCTACTTTTATGTTTTGATCAGAAAGTGTGAGAGGGGACTGAAGAAACTGCATCATCAAAAGAGTCGCATAAGCGTTCGCATTAAGATAAAATTTTATTTTATATTTGTCGATGACATTTTTATGGTCTTGTTTTGTCAGTAAATAAAATTACTTATCATAAGTCAGTTTAGTTATTTCATCCTATTTGAGAGCAAAGCCTTTTGTACAGTTTTTGTACATTTGAGCAAAGTCATGTTTATGGTCATGTTTATGCATTAATATGTACAGTTTTTGTACTCTAGTACTTTTCATCCTATTTGAGGAAAGGCTGTTTTCTTCTTCTAGATATCTATCTTCCTTTCTCTTGTGTAAAAAAGATGGGGAGTTAATGAATAAACAAGTCAAAAAGTTCTACTAGAAAAATTATAGATAGTGATTATGGTTTAACTCTAGGAATATAAATGTTTTTGCTACTTTGTCACTTGATCCTCTGGTATTATTAATTCCATACTCCATGTGATGGCTACATATTTACATTTCTAATTGATTGTTGCTGGTTAAGGGTCTCATCACTAAAGAAAGGAAGAATTTTGATCCGACAAGGGTTCCATTTGCTAAAGATCTTGGACAGATAGGGGAACTTAAAGATGGCGACTCACTTCTTGAGTGGTAAGCTCAATATTTGCATGAGGGGCAACATATATAATTGAAGCGATAAGTTGAATCTTTTTGTTCAACGATGAAAAGGTTGATGTTATGCTACACCTTTTTATAAGTACAATCTTCAACAAGTCATGGTTGTTCTTTACATATATATAAAAACCTAATCGTTATGAACCGACTTTTATTCAGGTAAAAAAGGTCAAACCTGATGTACTTCTTGGTTTGTCTGGAGTTGGTGGTGTGTTCGGTGAAGAGGTGGAAATTCCTATTTATTTTGTTATTGGCGTGCAGTTTATGCTTATTTTTAAATTCTGATTACTGTTGACATTCTGCATTGTGATGAGTATACCTCACCACTTTGTTGGCTCAAAAACAGGTGCTCAAGGCTATGCGTGAATCTGGTTCAAGTAGACCTGCTATATTTGCCATGTCAAATCCCACAATGAATGGTTTGTTTTCTCTGTCCTGCTCCTGCCATGCGATATGGTTTTCCTTATAAAACTAGATATTTCGTCTTGACATATGTTTGCATTTCAACTGAACAGCTGAATGCATTGCTACTGAAGCTTTTAAGTATGCTGGAGAAAACATAGTTTTTGCCAGTGGAAGCCCTTTTGAAGATGTCAAGCTCGATATCTTCCATATATTGTCTGAATTATGAAAGATTTAGCATCATACATTTACAAGTCGTTTTCGGCTACGTACAACACGTGTTCGTGATTTTTCTTTTATGACTGAAAAGTATCACTAGGGAATTGGGTTTTGTGGTACATGATCAGGTAGATTGGAATATTTTGTTGCTGGCTTTCGTGTTTTCTATGGAAGATTTGTCTTTGTATTTTGAGTTTTGAAACACTACTTTTATGACAAAAGTTGTTGTTTTGCTCTGGGGAGGATTGTAAATGAGTGCCTCGTGTGGGCGCATGTTTGATTTTATGTGTTTAGAACCTAATCTACAACCATAACTACTTTTGTATGCATCCTATAAAGTTTCTGAGTTCATATTATCAACAAAAAAAAA